AAGGAATTCTGAAACGGGTGGGAACACTCTGTGATTGTAGATCAAACACGTAAGATGGGGAATTCTGGGACTGCTAATACAAAGCAGATGGGGATTTTGTTGGATGGCTATGTTTGAGGAAGAGGCAAAGCGGGCACGGCGGGACCTTGGGTCCCATCTCTCCCATTGGGGAATGTAATCGTCGGTACCTAGGCACGCAGGTAGGGTAGCGTGGGCTGCACCTCGTAGAGTACGGGGTATTCGGCGCAGGCAATCCACAGGACAGTCGTTGTATCAAGCTTACTCGTACAAAGTCCCGATTACGGAGTAGCTTATAGGAGGAGACCAAGAGGCAAAAAAGAGAGGACACTGTTGTCTCTTCGTTCTGAGAATGTGAATCAACCCTTCGAGACCCGCATTAGGGGTTGGACATTTTGGTTGGTGGGGAAGAGAATCCAATCAGTGACGTCAATACCTCAACAAGAAAAGTTGTACGAGGTACTGTGGTTAAGTCGAGTCGAGTTTGAGTGAAGTGAAAGGATTTACTCTGTACAGATGGGAGAGAGGAAAAAAAGCTTGCGCGTCCTCTGAAGAGCGTACTAGGTACCTACCTACTTACCTACCAGATCTACAACCCTTCAACGGATGCTGTATTTTGGCTGCATACACTCACAAGCTCTTGACTGGCTCGTCCACGGAATCATCGCATCATCAAATCATCATCAAAGCACTAGATGGCGCCATTGATATCTGTCTTTCCCTACGCTCACATATCAGCCCGCCCGTTGAATGCACGTCGTCTGTCCGGCGCCATTCAATTGCTGGTTACACATGGGATCTGAGCCTGCAGCTCGGACATCCATTTCAAAAAGCTTGACCTGATCCTGGAGCTAAGCTTGATTCTAGGACCCCCCGGTCTGGCCGGCCATCGATTGCGATCCTGCGTCGAAACCCCTTAACTTCCTCCTCAAATCCCACCGGACGCGATTTAGCTGAGACCGGTCAAAGAGACAGGGTGCATCAATACTGGTGCCAGATACTGAGTATCTCGTCTAGATACGAGCACACAAAGGGATGAAGAGCTGGACAGTAGGGAAGCCAGACCCGCCCAATTCGTGGCCCGTAGCCTTGATTGCGTGCAATCGTCCCACCACCCGCGTCTCGGGTTGAAGGCCAATCGTCTCTGTGCCCTGGACACTGTTTGCAGGGTGATCCAGCCGCCATGGCTGATTTGAGGGCTTGGACGGTGCTTGAAGGTTGCATGCTAAGACAGATGGAGCCAGCGGGCTCTACCAGGGTCAGAGAGGTAGTTTTTTTAGTCTACTTTGCCTCAATGCATCTTCAATTTCCATATCCACTTTGCCCCAGAGTGGCATACGGATTCTCCGTATTGTCTCTTGTCTATCTTGCCTCTGAATTCTCACCTTTGGGATTCTGTCGTTTCCTCCTTGTCTGCGCTGTGTCCGTTACACTGTTCTCCATACGTGTGTGCTTCGACTCATTCGCTTTGTCGAGTTGGCTGTGCCTGCTGTCCACACGCGGTCCTGTCTGTACATTATTGCACTCGCTGTCGACTCAGCCAAAACCTCCTTACACGCTGGCCGCTTCCCTCCTCCTTTCAACCTTGATAGCAACTGCTCAATCTGCATGACGCCCCCAAATCTTTCGCTCGGTCCACCTACGAACATCCCAATTTCCTCCGCACCGTCTTCTATCACGATCAACGTCGACGTTCGCTCCAGCAACTACGCGCCTCCTCACCTTCAGTCACTCATTTAGGCCTGTTACCATACCACATCACATCAACATCCTCGCTCCCTTTCTCGAATTGCATCGGGGAAGCGTATGACCCGAAGACTCACCATCACTGGCAGCCGCACCGAGATGGGCCTGCTTGAAGACTCCCCTGTTGAGCCCGAAACACCTCCGCCCAGTTGGTCACCCGCCAGCCGCGACTTTTGGAAGAAGCCTTCAAGATGGCAAATCTGCATGCCCCGGTTACGTCTGGTACTAAAAGTAGTCGCCACGTTTGTCGGATTCATTTTGCTCTTCAAGATAATGAATGCAACACCTCCCGCTCCACCGCCTGAACCCGCACCAGAAATACCAGAAGTTCCTGAAGGACCAGATATCCCTGAAATCATAGAGACCCCAGAGATCACGGAGCCTCCATCCCCACCACCAACCGAGGATGAGTTGATGGAAATGACACTGGAGAACTCAAAGAAAGAGCAGTGGATATGGAAAGACTTCCCAACGTATGTCACCACATGCCCTTGGCAGCCAATCAATGTCTTTGTCAATACCCTGACCGTGTTAATTTGACTAGGCATGACGGTTTGACGCGTGGAACGTCACATCTGCGCGCTTGTGAGACCGGTGAAATCGACTGCAAAAAGACGAGTCCTCTCCTCGTTCGCTATGATGGCTATCGAGCTTTTCAGGAACCCCTGGAACACATCGTATCCTGCGTTGGTCCGCGTGGTGTGCCACTGAATGAGAGCTATGAAGACGCCGTTTGGGCGTATCCTGGTCAAGCAAACGGTGAGAATGGGCGATTCTCGATGCCTGGACATGTCTGACTAGAATATTTAGGTGCTGTCGAGCCTAGCCTTGGATCGTATGAGGCGTCTGGCTTGGACGGAAGTGTATCTTTTGATCGCGTTGGTCGTTTTCAGGCGTATGGCCTCGATCAGTGGGATGCTACTGATGTCCAAGAAATGAAGAAGATGAGCGACGTCGACTGGGACGTGGTTGACTGGGGTGAATTACAGGATGACTGTGCTGTCGTCAACAAACACCGTTTTCGGCCACTCAAAGAGCGACCTGCTAATTCGATTCAATATTCCAATCTTCGACACAAACATGACAAATCTTCGTCCAGAACGCTCTCCTCGACGCTAGAACCCGGCATGGTCAATAAGGCTAAGCGCACCGCGATTCTCATTCGTGTTTGGACCGGTGCAAAATGGACTGCCGACGCCGTGATGAATATTCGCGCGATGATTGCAGAGGCTTCTTTGGCCAGCGGAGGGAAGTATCAGGTATTTCTTCTTCTTCATGTCAAGGACGAACATATCCCACTCTTTGTTGGCGAGGACGAGCCGAGAGCAACGATCGAGAAGCACATCCCACCCGAATTTCGAAGCATGACAGAGGTCTGGAACCACGCTCAGATTCGCAGCTTGTATTCAAACCTCGCCGAACATGCTTTTGTTGGCCGATCGCCCTGGATGATCATCCAATGGTTTGCTCGCAACCACCCAGAGTTCGATTTCTTTTATCAATGGGAGTTCGACGTGCGCTATACCGGCCACTACTTGGACTTCTTCGAAGCAGTGGAAAATTTTGGGCGCAACCAACCCCGAAAAGGCATCTGGGAACGAGCAGGGAGAGTCTATATCCCCTCCGTCCATGGCGATTTTGACACCGATTTCCGCAATATAACCACAGAGGAAGATCCTCACCATGTGTGGGGGCCGGTGTCCGTCGAAGGGGTCAAACCTCGTGGTCCTAAGCCGCCAAAAGAGGAAGAAGATAATTTCGAATGGGGTATCGGTGAAGATGCTGACTGGATTGGCTTTCTCCCAAGCTTTAATGTGACTGGCACTGGCTGGTGGTTCCGCAACTACCTCTGGGGTTATGCTCAGGGCACGTCCACACCGAGGAGGGCCACTCTCATTGCGCAAGGCAGAGTCAGTCGACGCGTTCTGGAAATCATGAATTATGAAAATGCAGAGAATGGGCATCACATTGACGCAGAGATGTTCCCTCAGACCATGTGTCTCCACCACGGGCTGAAATCCACCACATTCCCGCACCCTATTTTCGCCGATCGATTTTGGACTCCCGAGGCGTTACAATCAACGTTCAATGGGGGGCCCTTTGGCCAAGCTGGAGGCTATTGGAATAGCACCTTCAGCAAGTGGAACGAACATGCGTGGACCAACATGACGTGGTACTACAGCTCTGCTCAAGCCATGCCGATTTTTCAACGCCTCCTCGGGATCACAGCGCTCGAAAGCGGTGGTCAAGAATGGGAGGATGTGTACGGCCGTACAGTCGTTCGCCCCATGCTACTTCATCCTGTCAAGGGTGCGAAAGCCTGGCAATGGACTGAAGATGGATGGAAGCAAACCAAGGCTCGAACCTGATTCACCCACCGCCAACCACAGTCTTTACGCAATCCGCACTTTCACCGCAAACCTTGATTATTTGCATTAGCCTTGGAGTTTGGAGTTTGGAGAACCTGTTCGCGTCAGTCTGGCACTGCTCTATCGAACTTGTCGACCATCTGTGTCCGCCTTCCATCAGAAGTGCCATCGCAGATGTCGAACAGAGGACATTCCTTGAAAAGAGAAGTTGTACATCACGGGACCACTGTTTATTTTCCATGACGACTAGGGGACCTTGTTTCTCCCCCACGAAAAATGAGACACTGATACATACACGACAGAGGACTTCCAGAGACTGGACAGCTGGATATGAGCTTTTTATCAAGCTATGGAAAGCATGAGCTAAGCTGGAAGACCAAGTACTTGATAAATAGAGATATGATCGGCCATTAGTCGGCTGGTGTTAATCATAATTGTAAGTTTGGACTGGCGAAGGAATTCTTAGCTGGCATGGTCCACATCTAAACATTGTCAAGCTCATCAGACCCTGAGAGGCTACTCTAGTAGTAAGATGAGGGATGTATTATTTTTGTGGGATCTAGCCGGCTGCGAGATATGCATGGATGTGCATTGGATGGAAAAGTGGCCTGGTGCTTGCTCACAGTTTGACTGGGGGTGGTCGCGATAATATGCACCAGGAACCACGAAATCCCGAATTGCGGGCGGTTCTGCCACATGGTTCCGCATCCTCTGCTTATCCAAGGGCCCAGTCCGATGCCAGTCGGCCTCGCAAGACCAAAGTTCATTCTCGTTGGCAGGACGCTATTTCTTTGATCTCCCCCAGAATCTCCCTGGCCAACACACATCAATGAGCGCTCATGCGGGTTACATGGTTGTTGAGACCTCATGTCCACAAATCCCTTCCGTAAGAGTAGTTCATTGAAAGGTTCTGGCGGAAGCAACACTCCTACTCCTAGTCTCACATCGGATCCTCGCGGCACCAGTCCTGGCGCTCTTTCTCTTGATACCAGAGGTATGTGTGTGTTGAGTTCATTCTCGCAAACATGCTGGCGGCTTGCTGAATCGCTGAAGCAGTCCACATTCCCCCGCAGAAACATGTAAACTTCGCTTCTCCTCCGGCCATTCCCATCTCGCCGGTCTCCTACCCACCTTCGCCTGAATCTACGCGACAAGAGTTCCCATCTACCTTCTCGAGCCCGAAATCCCCTCTGCCCGCGCCGACAGACTACAGCCAAGCACTTGCGAGCGATCCTTTTGCGGCCGAAGCTTCCGACGAGGATGATAATGCCATTGAGCAGGCGTTGGAGAACGCAAGAGTGAACAATGAGATAGTTGCACCTGTATCAGTTCCGACGAAGGTCTCCGAAGAAGATGCTGTAAAAGAGACGCTGGGGCGTTTTGCAAGCATCCCACGGCGACCGGTCAGTGGTCAATCGACCGTCGCTGGGAAAGACCCTGGCAGCTCCTCGAAACCGACCATGGACGTGGACGCATTCAAGAGGATGTTACTAAAAGGAGATCGTGGCCCTTCTTCATCCCGCGATACAGCGGTGCAGAGTGTTCAATCAGGTCCCAATCCTGTAAGTGACAGTGGTTCCAGTGCGGACACAGCGTCTATCTCACAACGCTCGATATTCGAGACTGTACAAATTGCGCACGATGAAAGTCCTCGAACGTCGGATGATCTAGAGGGTAATGAGGCGAACATATATCGAGCGCAGCTTGGAACTATCTCGGAGAAGGGAGAGAAACCCCCGCCGCCAAAGAGCAGGCGCGGGAAATTCCTCAAGGACCGGGAGACGGAGCAAGGACCAACAGCCAAGTTTGACAGCTTTATCAATTCGCTGACGTTGCCCGGCACCCGCAATGTCAGCTCAGAAGCACCGAGTCTGAAGTCGCCTTCAATTGACGAAACCCCTAGTAGCGATCGACTTGCCAGTGCCGGACAGTCTGATACTCAAAAGAAGGTGCCGCCAGCGCCTCCGTTAACTCGACGGAAGAGCCAGCAAGCACCAAAGAAACCAGTATTGGCAAGAAGCAGCTCATCTCGCTATTCGGTCTTCAGCGAGACGGACGGGCCTCCGAGCCCATCCTTTTCCAGCTCTGGAACGAAACCTCCGCCGCCACCTCCAGCGCGACGGAACAACGGGACGAGCGACCGTCGCCCATCACTCGATGTGGCCTCGATTGCAGAGGACACGAACCTAGTGGATGGGGAAACAAGGCCGAGCCTCAATTCCAGCCCATCCTACTCGAGGCGACTGAGCCAGGGACTACCACCTCCACTACCACCTCCCCGGCGAGGAAGAGGCTCTAGTCGAAGTAGTATGGAGACTACGAGCCATCAATGGCGCACCTGGACGTGGCAGATGGCGGAGGAAGTGATTTAAGTTCTCCCAAGAGTGACCCCAGAGACATTTTGGCGGACCTTGCTGCCCTGCAACGCGAGGTAGATGCTGCTAGAGCTGGGGCGGGTCAGTGACGAAGAGATGATATCGATTGACTAAAACCCGCACTTTGTATGATATGGCCATAGCCACAATAAGCATTGAATGCTCCCATAGTTCTGAGGAAGGTCGCCTCTCGCCGGTACCCCTTACATAGGTACTCAATAGTCGATACAAGTGGCACGTGCATGGCTATGGGCAATCTAGTCACGTGAGACACGACCTAGATGACGTAGCCAACCGGAACTTGCCAGTTCTGCAACATGCATGCATGCATTTCTGGGGAACCTGAAGCCCACGCCTAGTTTGTCTGTGCATCGCGCAACCTGCGAATTCCTATCCTGCCCTAAACTTTGACTCTGGTCCTCCCTTTTCATCTTCACTTTAGATACACCAGGATCGATTCTCCTGTGTCTATCACTGTCGCTAACAATACCTTGACCAAGAAAGCCCTCCTGGTGACTTCCTCCACCGTCCTGTCCCCCGCAATAGCACCTAGGTATTCAGAACAAAGGCCGCCCCCCCCCTCGGCCGCAAGCACACCTGGCGTTTCATTCCACACCGTACTCGACCACATCGCGGTCCTAGAATGATACCCTGATAATATCTAGTACTCTCATACCAACGGCAGCCGCTCCATCTGCTTGCTGTATACGCGTTAAAAAGTACGAGGCAGTCAGGTCCGGCTCCTGTATCGATCCACAGTGCAAAGACGGATCTGTCGCAATCATGCCTAACAGAGGTCCTACTCTGATCAACCGTATGTACTTGAGCCCCCTGTGGCCAAACAGCCTTGTGGCGAAACTAATAGTGCGGGCATATAGTCCCTCCGCCACCTTCAGACCCTGCCACGCCCAGCGAGATGGGACCGGGTACCCCCAACTCCACAACCACGTCTCTCTCGGCATTATCTGTTGTCGCCATAAAAGACGGATCAATCGGCCATGGTGGTAGAGGAGCGGCCGCATCGGCAAATACTCTTGAAGCCGAACGGGCCGATCGCATCTCTCGCCTCGCCGGCCTGGAGAGAGTTGCGACATCTCGACCTACTCCGTTAGGACACCTTGCACCTGGCTCTGGCGCCTTCCATGGTCAAGGCTTTGATTATGCGCCTCAATTCAAAGAACGAAGTACTGTTGGGAGTGCCAGCGCAACGGGGAGCGTAGGTGGTCGAACCACTTGGGCGAGTGGTAGTGTCGATTACGATGCGGATAAGATGAGCGAAGACCCGGATGACGGGGTTTCGAGCACCGGTGGATTCAGTGACGAGGATAAGGCCAGTCTGGTCGGATTCGGTGAAGGGGCAGGCAGCACAGTCAGCGGCCCCGTCTCTACCCCCTACAACACTCGTGCCTCTATTTCTCGACAGAGCACCAATGTCAATGCTCCGTGGACTCCACGAACCGGCACTCTACCGATGTTTGGCTCTGGGCAGAGCACGCCTATGAGTGGCATTACCCCCAGTGCTGCTGCAGGGAGCACCGACCCCAAGATGATGGACGGGATGAGTTACGACCAGAATTTCCTCGACACGACAATGCAGCCGGCTCCACCGGTCGATGACCCCTCAACACACCCTCATGCTAACCGATTTTCGGGCATGGGAACTGAGATGGCAGAGGAAGTCATGCGCGATCGACTGAGAGATCTGGAGCAGGCACAACAATCAATGCAGCCCGGGGATGGGCAGACATTGGGCAGATTTCCCTTTGAGAAGGAATGAGCCAACGACGTTGCGTTAGATTTCCACCGTTCTGATTCAGAGTCATACCTGGCTAGAGAGTGAGGCAACCGGGTTTACTCAGGCAAGACTGCTCTTGGTGGAACATGAGCGAATGTGTTCTGTGACTGTACAACTATCGATAACTTGGGTGTTGTAGCGGGAAGCTCTTGAGACTTGCCCAATGGTGGGTGGTTCATGGCGTGTTTACGAGGGCGTTGAGGGTCTGTTTACCCTCTTTTCGGCTGGGATCGCCAGGGGACACGGGTAGGAAGAATGACACTCGTTACCAAAGGCTAATATGGATATCCGAGTCAGTTAATCTGTAGCAACTCACATTATCGAGACCTCACAGAGGAGGTCAGGGACAACCCGTCGGGAGGACAGGGTTCTTCCAGCTCGTCGCGATGTCCAAACTTCACACGGCAAGCGACGAGCTGATGTTGATGGCGAGGCTGAACATCCCTTTCAAGTAGCGGTCTAACATTAGGCTAGTTGCTAGTCCAGGGCACTCGAGCCCCTCGCCCTGGCTAAGGCAGCCGCCTTAAGTAAGCGCAGGGCCATTATTAGGAGGCCCTCGAGGCAGGCTAAGCCGTGCTTGGGATGCCACTGATGCACAGGGAACACCGTTATTAAGAATGAAGTTTTTGCATGACTGCGCCCAGGCTTTACCGCTAGCCTGGCATTTCACGAAACCTGGTCCTCTTCCGCTGGAACACATTTTTTTGTCGCTTTCTTTCCCACTCCCTCTCTATCTCTCTTCCCTCCACCGCCCCCCTCTCGTCACCCTGTCCAATTTGTTTGTCCCCTCCTGCAATCGCTGATATTAAGTTATCAAGTAAGGAAAAGACTCTCGAGTTGTGACAGTCTCACCGCCACAAACGCTGCCGTCACCCGCAACCTTCCTAGTCCGCAGGCCTTTTGTTGTTGATACCTTTTGACACAAATCTCATTGTTGGCCACCCAACTTTTTCTTCCTGCCAGATCTACGCCCCTCGTCTGAGAAAGTCTAACCATCTTGGCTGCTGAGAACGCTCCTCTCAACTGTGCTCGACTACCCAAGGAAAATGGCGCTCACACAGTTTGCCTGTATGTATGGTCCTAGACAGCGGACTTGGCAGAGGATATCCAGGTCTTGTCGCTGACACTGTATACAACAGTCCGGACTCTTAAGGGGATCGGTGTGGTCAACGGTGCACCCAACTACGAGCCACTGTCGGGGTTCCAAAGGTTCGATATGTATGCTATGTTGTCCAACGAAGCCACTTGCTAACGATCCGATTCCCAGGCCCGAAGGAAACCTACGATGCTGCTCCTACTCCCCCTGCGGCCGATATTTCGCATGGGCCTCCCCGGAAAAGTATGATATTAGACCGCACTTGAGAGCCAAAGTGAGGTGGACTGACTGGAAACAAGGGTTAACATCATCGACGCTGACACGGGTGTCATCATCTCTTCCCTCCCCGCCGAGAACGTTTTCGAACTGGGTTTTTCGCCCAAGGGTACCTACATCATCACCTGGCAACGCCCTTCCAAGGATGACAACGGTGACGCCGTCAAGAATCTCAAGGTGTGGTTGGTCATTGACGAGAAGGCGCTGGCGGAAGGCGTCGACAAGCAGCCGGTCGCCAGATTCGTGCAAAAGTCTCAGACTGGTTGGAACCTGCAGTACACATATGATGAGACATTTTGTGCGAGGGTCGTTACCAATGAGGTGCAAATCTACGAGAGCCACGACCTGACGACGGTTTGGAATAAAATTCGAGTCGAGGGCGTGACGGACTTTGCGGTGTCGCCCGGGAAGAGCCACACGATTGCAGTCTTCGTGCCGGAGAGAAAGGTAACCTCCAAGACACTCACCAGCCTATCTTCTACTGGATCTGACCCGAAAAATAGGGACAACCAGCCGCTGTGCGAGTGTACAATGTGCCAAACTTCACCAATCCCATATCTCAGAAGAATTTCTACAAAGGTGACAAAGTGCAACTCAAGTGGAATGACCACGGCTCTTCTTTGATTGTGCTGGCACAAACCGAAGTCGACAAGACTGGCAAGAGCTACTACGGAGAGACCACACTCTACCTTCTCAGTGCTAACGGTGGCTTCGACTCAAGGATAGATTTGGGTGCGTTACTCGCTGTTTTCTGGCGCGACGTGCAAGCACTAACGTGTGTTCTAGACAAGGAGGGCCCGATTCACGACGTAGCATGGTCCCCGAAATCCAACAGCTTTGCTGTGGTTTACGGCTACATGCCAGCAAAGACTGTGATATTCAACTCCCGAGCCCAGCCAGTACACACCTTTCCTCTTGGACCGCGCAATACTGTACTTTTCTCACCGCACGGACGGTTTGTTCTTGTCGCCGGTTTCGGAAATCTTGCTGGCCAGATGGACATCTATGATCTTGAGAAAGATTTCGCCAAGATTTGTACCGTCGAGGCCAGTAATGCAAGCGTGTGTGAATGGTCTCCTGACGGCCTTCATATCCTGACAGCCACCACCTCGCCCAGGTTGCGAGTCGACAACGGCATCCGTATCTGGCATGCGGGCGGTTCGTTGATGTATAACCAGGATCTGAATGAGCTCTATCATGTTTGTTGGCGACCACAGTCGGCTGATGCATATCCCCTGGCTGCTAACCCGCTTGCCGACGTTCCTACAGCGCACAGCAGTGCCATGGAATACATGGCTGCCCGCAAGACGCCCAGTAAACCTGCCGGTGCGTACAGACCACCAGGAGCTCGTGGACAGGTCACGCCTCTAGCATTCAAGCGCGAAGACGAAGGTGGTGCCGCATTCGTTCGCGAGGGCATTTCGTCATTCTCAAGCAACATCAATGGCTTTGGGAAGCCTCGGCAACGGGTTGTTCCAGGTGCCGAGCCTGCCGAAGAAAAGGGACCTCTTCCTCCTGGAGCTGCTCCTGGAGGAGGGGTGAGTTTGACAGGAACTGGAGAAGGAGCAGACGGAGAACCACTGTCCAAGGCTGCGAAGAAGAATGCCAAGAAGAGAGAAGCAAAGAAGGCGGCGGCGGCAGCCCGGGATCAACAGCAAGGCGGTGGGCCACCCAGCAACCTCGCGCCGGAGCAACGACCACAAGGTGGAAGGGGCAAGAGCCCAAGCCGAAGTCCGGATGGTCGTGGCCACCAGCGCAGCCGAAGTAGGAATTATGTGCCCGCGCCTGGTCTTGAGCCGCCCAGTGGACCGAAGAAGGAACGGAGCAGGA